CCCAGACACATTATTTACAACAGGTGTTCGGGGGGGACACAATTATCGAAATGGTATGACCCTTTTTCGGGGAAACTAGTCTGTTTACAACTAGCACCACTGTCACACTCTGATGGCAACTCAGGAACCAGTTGTCATTGAAGTTACCGCTTACCCTTCTATGTTAACTGCAATGACGAATAGCTGCTGCAGCTGTTAAAGGCAATGTAAGCACAATCACTAAAATGTTACATACAGCGGTAACATCATTTGTGTTAAAGCTACAGCTTACATTAATACTTGGTAATGCTTTCATAAGATAATAGTTTATTAGCAATAAAACAAAATACATGTCTCAAACAAATTGTAATATTTCCATATATATGAAAGTATTTTAACCACACATGAACAGATCTAACATGTATGACTGCAGGGGGGAAGTCATGTGTGACTGATAGTACTGGCCACAGTACGAGGCAATTGACGGCTGTTCGGTTAGCAATTGTTTAAAATGGGCAGTCAGTTACGGAATGGGTTAACTCACCTAAAGAGGGTGTGGTCAGAGGGTTTCAAAAGATGTGCAGCTAACAGGTCACTAGAGAGACACTGAAACAGAGATGATCCACACAGACTTCAAAACGCTGGTGCAGTAAAGTTATACCGAGACATGACACAATGCTGTGTTTGTTTAGCAGGTGTTTAAAAGCTTAGCCTGGCACCTTTAATAAGTGAGGGTAAAAAAAATGCTTTCTATGTTTAGGGAGATCTCAGACAGATAGGTGTTTTGCGTAAATGTTTTTTTTACTGGCTGGCTTGAGAACACTCAGTGCTATTTGTGAAGAGTTTGCCACTAACGGAGTACAATAATGTTCCCCTGCTAAGGATTTGTGGACTTAGGCCTCTACAAGTTTATCTATATACTGACTGCATTGAGACACAGTGTTACTCCATAAGGAAACAAATCATTATTTATTTCAAAACTTACACAGGATTCCACAGTAGGAGATAAAATGCCTAACAGAGACGAAACCCTGCGGCCAATACCAAACAGCATGCTTTGCCCTTGCTGCAGGAAACGCTGGTGGATCTTTCCAGAGGAGTCTGGCATTAATCGAATAAGCTGATTCTTTGCTGATGACAGTATGAAACTGCCAGTCTGTATGGAGAGGGGGAAAAAAAACATTAATGTACTAAAAACACTAGATGCATATTTATTTTAAACAATGAAAAACAAGACTGGTGGTTTGTAACGTACGTTGATCAAACAATGCATTAGCACAAGAACAACATGGTTGTGGAAATGTGGAGTGGGTAGGGAAGTTTTTTTTTTTTCTTATCCGTTTTCCTGAACAAATTCTACCAGATAATCCTTTATTATGCCCTCTAGCATTTTACAAACTACCGATGTTAGACTGACCGGCCTATAGTTCCCAGGTTGGCACCTAGCCCCCTTTTTGAATATTGGGACTACCGTAGCCCTCCGCCAATCACTGGGGATCCTAAAAGTCATTAAGGAGTCCTTAAACATGAGGATTAATGGTTTAGTTATAACCTGGCTAAATTCCTTAAGTACCTTGGGGTGCAGGTTATCCGGACCCACTGCTTTGTTTGCATTGAGCATTTTAAGTCTTTGTTGTATCCCGGTTTCCGGTGACAAACATCCACTACAGTGTACATCTGTTTAACCCCTTCACCACTAACGACGTAGAGTGTACGTTGCTAGCATTGGGGCTGTTTAAACAGACCCCCTGGGGCTTTTGCACCCGGGACTCTGTTTAAACTTGTAACGCCGACTGTCAGCTTTACAATAGAAGCGATTCTGGCGAATCAGCTGTCGCCAGATCGCTTCTACAGCCTGGTCCTGCATTTTGGCCTCTGTTCTGGTTGGAATTTTCTCTGCCCTTTGGTGTGGAGTCCTGATGACCCCTAGTTTGTGATCTAGGGAGAGGTGGGAGAAAAATAGCAGGTACTGGTCTGTGTGTGTTGGCTTTCAGTAGACCTCTATTTCCAGCTTCCTTCCCTCGTCTACTGTTACTAAACAGTCCAAGAAAACACTACAAGAAAAATACAGCAAGTACTGTTGCCTTGACTTGTTTTTTACAGATAGACCATGACCTGGATGAATGAGAACCTTCACAGACATGTACCCCTGTATGTTAAGGGCTCTGAGGACAGTATCTAATTGTTTTTTGAATGAATATTCTCTGCTGATACCACTGCTTGTAGCAAAGTTCCAAAATTGAACCACTCAGACTGAAAAGAAGCCCCTACACCCTTTGTGGTTAAATCTTGTTTCCATCAATTTTAGGTGTTGGCCTCTAGTCTTTGTTAGGGAGTTTACAGTAAAACGTTTATTGCTAATGTTGCCATGACCACTAAATAACAAATTGTACATCAAAATGATGTCCCCTCTCAATAGCCTCACTTCCAGCGTGAACAAGTTTAAATTTAGCAACCTTGTCTCATAGCTTTAATCCTCCAGCTCCTTAATTAGTTGGGATGCCCTTCTCTGCACTCTCTCTAGCTCAAGGACATTATTTCTGTGAACTGGTGACCAAAATTGAACTGCATACTCAAGATGTGGACAAACCAGTGATCAATAAAGTGGCAGAATTATTGCTTTGTCTCTACAGTGCATTCCCTTTTTAAAGTATGACAGTATTCTGCTAGCTTTGTTTGCCGGAGCCTGGCATTGCATGCTATTATTCAATCTGTGGTCGACTGACTCCCAAATCTTTTTTTCCATTTCTGACTTCCGTAGTGGAGTACCAATTAATGTGTATTCTGCATGCCTATTTAACCCCAAAATGCAGCACTGTACATTTGTCAACATTAAATCTCATCTTTCATATAGTTGACCACGTCCCTATTTTATACAGGTCCTCCTGTAATGTTATAATGTCTAAGCCCGCCTCGATTACCCTCCTAATTTTAGTATAATCTGCAAACAAAAAAATGTGACTATTTACACCTTCCCCGGTATTATTAAACAGTATTGGGCATAGGACAGAACCCTGGGGTATGCCACTCTTTAGAAAAAGCTTTGGGAACCCTGGTCTTCATGGTATAATGATACATAATTCGATAAAGTGCGTCTTTCTTGTGCCTCAACCATTTTGAAGACTATGATCTCTGTAATGTTTTTCTTTATTGTACGCGCTTTCCTTTAATGCACTGTAACTTTGCTTATGTTTGATCTCCTGTTCACACTTGCTGCTTGTTTGCCATCTGTTGCATCTGATAATTGTATTATGTAACTTTTCTTAAAAACAAAAAAACAAAACATATATACATATTTAAGGTCTGAAGATAACTGTACCCCACCCCAAACATTACATAGTTTCTGAAAGTAGAGACCCCATAGAATAAAATAGTGGCAGTTGCAATTTTTTATATATGTCACACAATACACTGGTCTACAAAATTTGGGAAATGATCGACCTCTGAGATAAAATGTGTTAATTCTTACATATTTTGTTTAGATGAATTCTTAACAGGTGATAAAGGTGATGGTTGGCTAACATTTTCAAGCTATTTCACAGTAAAGATTTATACACAGGCGAGTATATTTGCCTACAAAGGAGGGAGGTGCCTGATGATTGTGATGCTTCATAACTTCGACAAAGTACAGTAGAACAATGAAAATGGTACCACGTGGGAGTGCATAAATGGATCTTCACTTTGAGACTAAAGATAAGTGTAATGTATTGTTCTTTTATTGCAAGGTACATTTGTCTTGGTCAGATCTACACATCATACAGTTACATCTGGTGGTTTTTGGTAAAGTGTCATTGCCTTTCCAAGTTGCGTGATATTTTCCCTTTAGAAGCCAAGATGCCTCGAAACTGTGTAAACAATGCTGATAACTTCTGCTACATTTGTAGCAAGGTTACATTTGCATCTTAAAAGTGCAGTATGACGGCAGAGGTAAACAAAAAGGCATAACACCTGTATTTTGGATGCAAAATTGGGGATCAGGACAAGAGTTGGGCCCCTCATTATTGTCGCATTGCAAGTGCAACTTATCTGCGTCATTGGCTAAACACGAAAGTAAAAGCCCATGCCTTTTCGCAGTGTGGAGGGAACACACCAATCATAGTAGCGACTGTTATTTTTGCATGGTTCCCCCAATTGCAACAGGGATCTCAAGAAAGAAGAAGTGGACCGTGGAATATCCAAACATTCCATCCGCACTGCGTCCTATACCCCATGGAGAGGACTTGCCTATTCCAGATCCACCAGAATCCTACTCAGATGATGACAAACACAATGAGCAGGATGCAGCTGAACTGGGGCCGTCGATGTCAGTGGACCCAAACTTTAGTCCACTGTATGCTCCTCCTGAACTACATCTAATTTTACAGAGTGAACTAAATGACCTTGTCAGTAATTTGGAATTGCCTAAGAGTTAGGCAGAGCTACTGGCATCCAGATTACAACAGTGGGACCTCTTGCAGAGGGATGTCAGGATCTCCATTTTCCGTGATCGCCAAAAAGATCTGGTTCAGTATTTCTTAGTGGAAGGTGATTTGCTTTATTACAATGATATTGATGGCTTAATGACAGCCCTTAACATTACCTACAATCCAGATGAATGGAGTTTGTTCATAGATTGATCTAAAACGAGTCTGAAAGCTCTTTTATTGCACAATGGCAATATTTTGACATCCGTTCCTGTCGGGCATGCAGTCCCGACAGGAACGGATGGCATGCACATGCCGTTTCTTTTATGTGCATGCACAACGGATGCATGCACATTAAATAAACATACGCAAAAAAAATCTAACAGCTGCTGAGGTATAAAGTATGAGGAACATCAGTGGCAGCTCTGTGGTGATTTTAATGTTGTTGCTTGGCCTGCAGGGTGAATATATGAACTACTGCTGTTGTTTCCACTGTGAATGGGACAGTCAAGCCAAAGATTATCATTATGTCAAGAAAGACTGGCCACCATGTCAGTCTTGGAAGCCAGGAAAGTAAATGTTCAAAATCCAGCTCTTGTTGACAATCAGAAAATGTTGTCACCACCATTGCATATAAAGCTGAGGCTGATTAACTTTTCCGAGGCTTTCTCCTGGTAGACCAGTGATATTTGCATTATTGTTTATCATATATACACAGTGGGGGGGTGTCCTAGCCATGGTGGCGTGAGGTGCTCGATCTGAGAAGCTCCCCGGCTTCAGAGTACCATCTGCACTCTTACCACCGAATTTCATCCAACAATACCCCGGATCGCGCTATGTGGACCTGCAGGAAGGCCAGAGGGTCTAAATCTCAGGTCTCCGACGCTTCACTACAGCAGTTTTTCTCCCCGAGGAGCGCGGCCCCATGGACCGAGGTAGGCCTCGGATGGCGCCTTCCACATCCGCGCGTATCCCGGCACACTGCACTCGCCAGTGGGGATCCCCCTCCCGGAGTGTTGGATCGGATCCGCAGTGCATTGGGCGACCTACGGTTGGGGATACCCGTTCAACCTGATAGTGAGGAAGGGGGAGTCCTCTTACGTCCTACGCTCTCAGAAGGATGTATCCGGCCTAGGCAGCTTCCTTGATGTGGATATTCCACCCCCTGAAAACTGGTTGGAGTATCTATCGGAGGGGCCCCGGCAAACTCCAGCGGCCCAGCGACGCTCCCGCTCAAGATCCAGATCTGCCCGTCAGGAACGACAGCGCACAGGAGACCGTGTGAATCCGAGGATGTCAGTGAAGGCTTAACTGGATATGGGGACCCAGATTCCTCTCACTATCAAGTTGGGGCTGTTTTCCCCCTTTCCTCATATTTTTTATATCTTCCCGGGTTTCTGCCGACAACCGGACTCCACAGACCAGTCTTACCACCACCCCCACCACACCTTGGACGCCGCAGGACTTTGCTAGATCCAGTCCCTACAGGTCGGAAGACACGCGGAACCCTCCAGTGCATTGGACTACCCTCTTCCTCCTTGGTTCTACTATGGAAGTTCGACTCAAGCCGCCTGATGTGAGGTGATGGGGATTGACCGTTTATGAAGGGAGGGGGATCTAGTCATTGCCGCTTGTTGGCTACACATGGATTGAGCAGATATTTCATCAAAGGATAGACTGGGGACCCAGAGGCAGATGTTACACTACCATGGAGGAGACCCCCGGGATGACACAGCCCAATAGCTGGGATGCA